CTTTGAATCAGTGCATTCCTTTTTCTTCATTAGGTAGCTAGTAATAGGTCACTCTAATCAACTCTTTATTCAACTCGCTATTAGAAATGATAACCTCCCCAGCCTACCCAGCAAAACCTAACTCACCCTCTCATTCCTCTACAGCACTGAGGCATGTTTACAACTGCAAACAAGAAAACAGGGTATGAGCCAGAGAAGAGCATCTAAATACAATATCATAAAGATTCAGGCTGGAACTGAAATAGAATTAGAGCACTCTCGATGTTGATGGGTACTACCTTCTTCACTTTCCATTTGTAGCATGAAAATTGACAATATCATTTAAATAAAATATGTGTTTGCATTTACTTCTGCAAAAATTTCAATTGTTCTCCTCCATCTTTGCAAACTTGGCAAGACTTTAATAGTTTCATTTAAGAGCAACTTATGATTGATAGGTTTTCCTAGTGTGTTAAGGCTCTAATTATACTCCTTTCCTCAAGTCTCCCCTAAAGTATACATAGTGGCCATCAAATAAAGGTGAAAAATCTACTTATATTGATATTTAAAAATTTTAATATTTAATCCCTTTCATTTTAGCTACTATCCATACTATCATTATAAGAACTTGTCTGTTAAAATATGTTCCAACTAAAGCTTGGTAGGCTTTGAATGCTTGATAAAAATCATTCTCTGAGGCTAATGAAGACAGAAACTCTGCCTGTAACAATATTAAGTTTGTTTTCTCTGGTGATTCAGAGAAGTGAGCAATCTGTCAGTAATACATTGAGTGAAATTACTTGTCTTGTAAGAATAACTGCTGACAGTCACTTTATCTCAGGGCTGACCCAAACATCTCCCTGCTGACAAACAAATTACTATGTCTAACTTTGAAAAGGTAACTAGCTTGTTTTTAATTTTGATTGGTCTTTCAGAGAATCTCCTGTACATATACTCAATCCCATGCCTCACTGTATTGAAAAAAAAAAAAAAAAGCCACAAAAAGTGTTTGGGGGGGGGCAGGTTTGAATTCATGAGAAAGAAAGAAAAAAAAAAAGGAAGGAAAGAAAAACTCTGTCATTTGGCATTCAGAAAAAGAACTGCTATTGCTTCTTTCCAAGACTGTTATGCAGATAAAACTGGTAAGTGTGTCTATCCAACATTAAGACTGGCAGTGCCGCCAGTGACTGACTGGGTGAGCGAACACATTACTGAGACAGTAGTGTAGGAATTAATTTTCTTCAATAAAGTTGATTTTTAAGGCTCATATATTTCACAATCTAAACATATGTCACTGTTTCATAAACAAAATAAATGGATTAAAATAATACATTACCAATATGCTGACATGTGGAGATATTTTAATTAGAAATTCTTAAGCTGTGTGATATTTAACTGCTGTATTTGCTAAAGAGAAGCATGCATCATTTAATAAGAAAGCAGGAGACAGGTGTATCACTTTGCATGCTATGGTACCAGATTGTATTTAATATAAGGTACATCTAGGAAGCAACATTACTTCCAATTACAAACAAAATAAAGCAAAACAAAATTACTTTTAAGGGTCTATCATGTTGAAAGTCACCACATAAAATGAATTGATACATTGAAGCTACTTTTTCATTTAAAAAAAGAAAGAAGTTACTCAGAGCTTAGTTGCTGAGACAGTATTTCTTCAGAAACAATTTAACCTCTTAGCTACTGAAAGGCCATATTTATATGACTGCCTCATTATACTGGTCCCCCTTCCTTAACATTCTTTCTGATGTACTTGAAGGACCAATGCTAACATAGCTGAGGAAAGCAAATGGCAACTGGTCCTGAAATTTATACGGGTAGAGAATTGGAATAAGTAGCAATATAATATATTGTTTACTATAGCAAGTGCCCTCTGTTCTCTAAAGGTCAAAAGCACTGTTATCTTAGAGTTACAGTTTCTGATTGTTCCCAGGGTTAAATACATTATCAAAATTAATGGTTCAAGCCCCTCAACCTTCAGATATATGAGTATTCATGCCTCCATCTGCTGAACTGTTCAACTAAAAATAGCATTCTTCGGCCTTCTCTCTCCTAATATTGTGCCCCTGAGGCAGAGAAAACCATGCCTTAGATCAGCACAGAGTACCAAGGCTTTCCTGTATCTTGCTTATTTGAAAGAAAGAAAGAACTGGAAGATGCTAATGTAAGAAGGGTCTTTGCACTTTAAATACCTTTTTTTTTTTCCTACTTGATAACAAAATTTCGGGCTTTCAGGGTAGAACTATAAATGCTGTTAAGATTTATCCAGGCTCATTAATGTTAGAAGTCACAACCTTTGAAGAACAAATGAACTGTGACATCAGGTAAGAAGGACTAGTTCTGAGCAATGCAGCCAGGTGTATATGAAGGTGGTGAGGCAGGGTGAGGGTGGCATGTACATGCTGTGGGCTTTTCTTCCTGAGAATCTCTGTTTAGAAATAAAACCAGTTAACGTAATTGTAATGCTTCCTTAGTATCAACAATCTATCACGATCGTGATTGTTAACAGAGCTGTGACATTTTAGCTTGTCAAAGGGAGGAAGAATTAGAAAAGAGAGCAGACTTTAAAATCAATAAAGCAAGATATTATTAAATTTTCTCTCTACTTTTGCTTACGATTTCAAAGGTGAGTTTCTGTAGTAGCTCAGACGTGTATGTCTACTGTGCTTTCGTGGACGTCCCCATAAACATGGGATGCTCATACCAGGAAAGTTTGGGAAACCTGCCCTTCAAACAAGGTCAATCTTTTCTAACCAGCGTACCATATAAGCAAACAGAGCAAAGGTTTCTTGACAGGCAGAAAAAAAAAAAAAAAGGTGCAAAAAATGAAAGCAAGAAAACAGAGCGAGAATTAACAAAAACCCAGGAAACTTTCAAGTAGGCCCAAACTTAAACTGCAAAATCTAAGGGTTCCCTCACTAACTGGTTCTCTATTTATCCTAATGCGAGTGATAGACGTGGGGCATATGCTGTGCTTCTAGATCAGCACCGCTACAGAACTACATGGATCTGGCACTCCCCGAGATGACAACATAGTTTCCAGAAACCCAAAAGAAGCCAGATTTGGCAGCATCAGGGATCCATGCTGGTGGCAGGGAGAGAAGTCAACCTAAGTGAAAAAATTAGTCAAAGAAGCGACTGGGTAAAAAACTGCTGATGGAGAAAGGTGGATGGGATAGATCTCAACACCTCAAGAGAAAATAAAAGAGAGGAAGTCTTGAGTCTGAGCCAAGACCACCTGCTTTCACATTTGTCCAAGCACTTAAACATTTAACAAACTATCTGTCCTGGGTGCCTGGGTGGCTCAGTTGGTTAAGCGACTGCCTTCAGCTCAGGTCATGATCCTGGAGTCCTGGGATCGAGTCCCGCATCGGGCTCCCTGCTCAGCGGGGGTCTGCTTCTCCCTCTGCCCTCTTCCCTCTCATGCTCTCTGTCTCTCATTCTCTCTCTCAAATAAATAAATAAAATCTTTAAAAAAAAAAAAAAACTATCTGTCCTGAGCCGAGAAGCTTGCTAACTGGCATCTCAAAGGAAGTCTTGTTCCCTGTATGCAGTTATTTCTACATTTTAGCAACCCCAGGAATGGCAGATCTTCAAAATGTCCAGAAATATGGTACCTTCTCTGCAGCCAAAGGAAAGCCTTATGAAAGAAATCCCTTATTGCTGTCTAGAAGATAGCAGATACTCTGACAGTATATGCCTGGTCATGTCTGGGTGGGAAGCCCCCGTATAACTTATATCAAAGTGACAGGGGAAGAGGGAGGCAGGCAGCAAGCTCTGGAACTCTTCCTTAGGCTACCTCCAAGGTGGCTTTTGATCTTGTCCTCTTTTTTCTTCTTACGTGTGAGCTTTCTCTATTATTTTTCAAAAATACAGGTTTAAAAGCAGCAGAGAAGATAAATTAAGGGGATACTCTATTGATTATACAGTATTTGATATGTATAGACTGCCAGAGCCAATAGGATCTGAATATATAGCTTTGCTTGATGTAATTCTTTTCTTTTCTTTTTTTTTTTGAGTTGAGTTTCCCATCGTAGGTTAGAACATAACATTTAGTATTAGATCTAACCCAGAAAGTTAAAGTGTGTTTCAGTCTGAGGTAGCCTGTCTCCATTTATTTATTTTTTATTTTATTTTTAATTAATTAATTAATTTATTAATTAATTTATTTATTTATTTATTTATTTTGGTGATTCAACAGATAGCTGGCAGCCCTTCAGTAGCTAATAATCCTGGAGAGGGACTCCAGTGATATGAGAGAGAAATCAAACATGAAATTACAGAGATGAGTTCTAGACCCCTATAGAAGAAAAGGGCTTGGTTTTCAAAAGACCCATAAAGCCATCTTCTCCCGAGTGGTAAGAATATCCCACAAAAACAACAAAGAGCTTTATTGGAAGTTAAATATGAAAGGGATACTACAGACATTCATGGGGCAAAAAAGCAACCAGTCAAGCCCAGCCACCCGGCCCTCCCTCAGCCAGAGAAAACAAGATTCAGAACCCTGAATCAGACCGTTAGAAATCTTGAGTACTAACTCTGACTCTGGGAATATTGTGCAGCCTCGGCCTCTCTGAACCACCACTGTTTTGTCTATGTAAGAAGGATTATATTTGATCAACTTTTCAGGGTTGTTATATGGGCAAATGAGAGTTTTTAAAAAATGTTTAAGTGCTTATAAACATTGTACAGCACTATACACAAAAAGGAGCAAACAAGTAAGGGGAAAAGGGATGGTTCTGAAGATACCTGTAAAGAATTTGCCTAAATATATAGCAATAAACAACCTAAGTCATTGGGGACATTGGTTTGGGGCTTGCCTCCTTCTGTGAAAGAAAAGGAGCAAAAATGAGGCTCCTTAGGAATGAGAAAAAGGGAAAGGTCACATTTTAGTGTTTAGGTCGAGTGTTTGCCACTTTAAGGGGGAAAAAAAAAAAAAGCCTAGAATATGACTGAACAATCCAGTCCCCCACCCAATGAAGCATCAATGGAAGCATTCATACCTCAATCTGTTTGTGGTTGTAAGAGTGGCCACCACCATGTTCAAAGGTGTCCAAACTCCTGCCAAAACGGTCACTTAGGCCCTTTAGCCTTGGGTTAATTTGTGGGTGGGAGACATGACCCTTCTGTTTAGTAGCATATTCAGAAAAAAAAAAAAAAAAAGACAAAACATACTGTCAGAACTCATGAAACAGAACACATATTTCTAAATCCAGGGTACTGACCACACCAAAGAATAGAAAGTAGAAGGCTGAGGACCCAGACACTGTCTTTCACAGAAACTTGGTTATAGGATCAAGCAATAGTACTGGTTTCGTACTTCTGCCTCTGACTGGAGAAGACACTCTAGCATGGCTATATGGAAAAGGAGACACAGATTAGGTTTATTATGAGGGAGGTTTCTTTTTAGATTTTTCCAACTGCGGTGAGTTCCAGTGTTAGCAGTGGGGAAGGTGAAGTTTTGGAAGAGAGGTAGGGCTGTTGCCCCTGTTAGGCAAAATGTCTAGCTCTGCTAGGCAGTCCATAGTCGGTAACATTGTCCCGGCTTTCCGGTTGAGGCTTATGACAAAAACTCAGAGTACTGCAAAAATTATTTATTTGCAGACCCAATTGAAAAGGCTCACAGTGATGTTTTTTCATGGCAAAATATCTGCATATTTCTTATATTCAAGCCATAGAGGGAACAGCAAAGAAGAAAAAAAATGCCTAGCCAGATGCTATTCCCTTGTAAGAAAACTCAAAAATACTCACAGTAAATTATAAGAATAAAAGACTATCTTTATACTCCCCACTGTGTTGAAATTCAAGTTCTTCACTACCACATACTTTCTAACTGTTCAAATACTGACGGTTTTACCATTATTTTAATGATATTATCTTTTTGTTTTTGTTAAAATGTATATTCATATTAAAAGTCAATTTCCCCTTAAAATGGCAGTGCTAGAAGGGTATAAAGATCACCTGGTCCTATTGTAAACCCCTCACTTGACTGTGAAGAAGATAAGGTACCAATGATTTTTTGTCCAGCTTCCAAAACACTTTCTCCCCCAGTTTTGCATTTGCATAAGTACAGAACCCTAACCCCGAATGTGGTGGGATGCCATGCCCGGACTTTTGGCTTGGCATGAAGCTAAAGATGAGAATGAGGGTACACATATTCCAGAGCAATATGTTGACATTTTACCAAACAGTTAAGGTAATCTGGTGATAACAGCCCCTAGTCTATAAGCTGCAAGAAGGAAAATGCCCAACATTGTTTTCTGTTTTGATGTTTATGTGTAAAAGATCATCTGGACATAAATGGAGACGTGGATGGAAAACGGATAAGGAAAAAGCTACCATATCCAATAGCGGCAGCCAGCAATAAAAACAAAACAAAACAAAACAAAACTGTAAAACCATTAACTCACCTGATAGAAAATATAGAGGTCTAAGCCATACTATCATTTTGCCTTTAAAAATACTGAAATTGGCAGTTTTCTATTTTCTGTATGGTAAGTACACAAGGTGTTAATCCTTCTAGGCTATGCTTAAAAATTATTTAACATTCAGGCCATTATTTAGCATACAGCTGGTTAGCAGTTTTCCGCTAAAGAACTGGCTGGTATCCCACATTTTTTTCTTCTGGCACTTACCTGGAGCTGCAAAGGGCTGAGTCCAGAAGTAGCAGCAGCTGCCATTGTTGACGAAATGAACTGCACAGGGTAGTTATCACCTGTCGGAAAGAACAATGCATACAGGTTTAGACAATGCACAGGGAATCGCAGCAGACAAGTACAAACATGGTCCTTGGATTGCCTGAGCTTTACAACATTGCTCTAAGCCCAAACATCTGCAGAAACAAAAGGCTTAGTTGGGCATAGACTTGCAGTGCCGCCTTGGAACTTTTTGTTAACAGATAGCTGGTAGGCAAACTGGCAAAACATGAATGTGATGTTAAAAAAATTAAATGTGCAATTCAAGCATGTTCACTCCATTAGAAATCTTGTAATACATCATTTTTTTAAGAGTAAAAAAAGTACCTTAAAGCCAGGCTGACACTCAGTTCACTGAGAAAGTATTAAGGTTTTTATGTTGAAACAACAAAAAGTTTTGGCTTGGTAGGTAAAGCAGAGTATTAGAGTCCAAAAAAGATTATGAGCTATTGACTGTCCATAACCCTAAACTTTCTTTTATAAAAAATAAAGAAAAAATTTTAAAAATGCAACCTCTTCAATTTGATAGGGGTGAGAAGGAAGCTAATCTTATCTGCCCACATTCTGTGAAATGCCTGGTATCTCCGCAAGAGTGGAAACCATAGTTTTCTGGATTAACTTCTGGTGGAACCGAGTACAGAATCATGCACACGAGGCACTTCTCACTTATTCTTCGATAATGCTTTGATTAAATAGCCACACATTTTACATGGGATATCTGCATTACAAGTCTGATAGAGATTGAGCATGCCTCAGCAGAGATCAACACCACATCTTCACGTCTGCCTCCGTGCCACTCCTAAACAGGGGAATGGAGGACCTTCTGTGACCTGAGAACACAGGCTGTGTGCGGCGACGTGAAGAACCAGGAGAAAGTCATGAGGAACGTATTCTGATAGTGGTGACTGAAATCAAAATTAATACTCGTGGATATATTACACACTATCAGTGATTTAATGGAGTATCACTTTGGCTGCAGCTACTTATTTAAAGTCAGTGTTATGTACTATCTCTAGGCTATATTTTAATAGGCTGTTCCTCCACACATTTTTGACATTTATAATAATCATGCTGTTTTGCATGAACTTTTCTACACTGAAAGCTGAATGTAATAATGAAGAGACAGTGTAGAAAGAATCACAGCAATAAAGGTAGCCAAATGGAAAGCAATAAAATCTCTTTTTTTTCCTGCACGGACACTAACACCTGGAGCCTTCGTGATGCTCCCTTCCCCCCACCCCTTCCTGGAGCTCATCCTACTTGCCACACCAAGTGCGCCTCAGCGGGCCCAATGTAAATGTTAAGTTGCTTTCACTTTTAACAAATTGTTAGCTTCTAATCGACACAGTCCCTTTGCATCATATCCATAATACCTCATCAGACCATTGAGCACAGTGGGTGCTTGTCCACAGTCCAGTAACAATTGGCTTCTGATTGCATATGGAGCACTGCGACAATGCATTCACTAACACTAGATTGTGCTGGTCTCCTATGGAGTAATGTTCAAAATATCTGATCTTGTTTCTCCCCTTCCATGAGGTTGATTTTGGTTTGCAGGGCTACAGGAGCTTTTTAAAAAGGATAACTAGGCCAAATTATTTTTTATAGTAAATGACTGTCACTTTATGCTTAAATAATTCGGCTGATCTTCTTGATATTTAAACTAAATTATCTGGAGAAAGAATATCCTAATCTAAGTCAAATAGTATTTCTTTGGTTGATATCTTATCAGGTTAAAAAAAATCACAAAACGATACTGAATTAATGATGCTTCAAAAATAGGGGAAAAAAATCACCATTCCAACCATCAACGTGGACTGCCTCCCGGAACATTTTAGAGCTGTTCTTTCTTTAAATATCATGCATTATTCATGATAACTCCAAACCACAACCCCCCTCCCTGTAAGTTTAATACCAGTTGCTTTATTTGTACTAAAACATTTTTCATGTCAAACATATTTAAAAAAATCAAACTCTAAAAGAATTCCCTGGGGCACTCCTTTTTTCATAGCTGTCATGCTTCTATGCTATGAAATAGCTGATTTTTTTTTTATAGTTTTTGGCTTGCCAGTTAATTTATTACTATCTCTACCACACCCTGTAGTACTCTCAAGCTCACCTGCTGGCTACAAACAGCTTTCTTTCCACTGCTGACAAGCATATTTTTTAAATGTTTTTAACCTTTCTGCTGATTTGAATCTGTGTATCTGAATACAATCTTTCGAAAGCTATTTCTCCAGAACATATCACTGAATCAATACTAAAAGTAAAAATGAATACATTAGAGCAACAGCGTATATTACAGAGAATGATTAGAAGAAAGAGAAAAGGGAAGGGCAGGAGAGTGAGAAGAGAAGAGTGAAGAAGAGAACAGGGTTAAAAGGAGCAGAGAAAAATGTTAAGAGGAAGACGGATTTAGGGTATAGCAAAGTTTGATTTTTTAATAACAAAGTTATGTGCCTCACCCCCACCCCTTTAATCGTCTCTTTATAAGAGTCGGTCAAGTAAAAGTTCTCAGTGGCTGACTTGGCAAGAAATCAGTCAACATGTTGTAGCAATTTTTTTCAAATTTGTCTCTGGATTTGAAATGCTTGCGTGAGGATCCATTCTTTCTAAATTTGTACAAAGGAAGATGAAGCCTGTTGGAACAGGTTGGCTTTAGGCACTACTGTAATCTGGCCCTTGCTACTTCTAGTGTAAAAAGACAACCTCCAAAAGCCAATTTGGGAAATAATGCCCATTCCGTAAATTCATCTTTCCAGCCTTCTAGATTTTCCAACTATTTTTAACTGAAGATTACAGAACAAATACAAAACAGGATTTAAAACCTATGGAAAATTTGCCTGACATTAGTTTCACTTGTCACAATAGGCAACATTCCTTTGGAACCAAAACAGCTCCACAGCAAGAGTCTCTGAATGATAGTTCCTTTTTTTAATTTTCAAGGAAAGTGAAAAGTAGTCAGAACTTATTAAAACTTAAACACAGGAGAAGGGGGAACTTGTACTAAGAACCTAGGACCCATTAGACTCAGGCTACCTCCTGCCAGAATACTCCTAGCCTCTGTAATTAAATATAAATTTCATTTTTATTAAGAAGTCAAAAATCTCATAGGTAAAATTCTGTCCATTTACTTTGATTCTTCAGAAAGACAAGGGACTGGATTATTTAGACTGTAGTCTCCTGGGATATTAACTTCAGAATTAACCTACTGAGGAAATCATTTAGAGAGGCTGGCAAGAGTAGAGAAATAAAAATACATTAACCTAGGAGACAGGATTCAATGACTTTTCAGTAACTGGTTCAAAATCTCACACTTCATTTTCCACCCTCTAAAACGGAATCAAAATACACTACATATCCTGAACTATCTCACAGATTATTGTGTGGTGGCATCACAGGATAATGGTAAATTATCTGAGTTGCCAAACAACTTATAGGTAGACCCCACTTTTATAAGCTATCCTCATTCTTGCTACAATATGGAAACATTTCAATCACAACCACCAGTACAGACTTGGACATATCATTTTGCTTCTTGCCTGCATGTCTGCATTGAGAATAGCAAAATGTTACAACATCTCTATATTCTGAAACAATGCCACAGTCAATCTGACTTTATCTCTGCGAGGCATCACACTGCAGAAAAAGTTAGCAGGTAATGAATGACACACTTAGGATCCTAAAAATAAAATGCAACCTTCAATTTGTTCTGAGGACAATCGAACAAAAAAAAATTGGCAAGGATTAAAGTATATATTGCTGAGATCACCATGCTGTTATTTCTCTTGCTAAATTTCTCCTCTGTTCATCCAAGAATAGATCAATGATGAGAACACTCTTGATCCCAGGGCATTTTCTAAGAACATATGCATTGTTTTTCATACCTTTAAAGAAGATAAGAATCAAGGATCAATCTTAATTTCTTCACTTATTTCATAAGACTGTTGGTCAATCATATGAAAATCCATGGTATTTGTCACAATAGCAATTAAATAAGTGAATGTGGATAAACTGATATAAATCCATCCATTACGGGGCATCTGGGTGGTGAACTCAGTTAAATGTCCAACTCCTGGTTTCCGCTCAGGTCATGATCTCAGGGTCATGAGATAGAGCCCCACGTTGGGCTCCATGCTCAGCGTGGGGTCTGCTTGGGATTCTCTCTCCCCCTCTCTCTGACCCTCCCACTCATGTTCTTTCTCTCTCTCTGTCAAATGAATAAATAAATCTTATTAAAAAATAAATAAATCCATCCATTACAAGAAATCAAAAAATATCAACTCAAAGTTCATGCCTTAATATAGCTCACCAATGATATAGCTTCGATATGTGATGAAGGGCATAGTTAAAGTAATCTTGATCTCCAGAAAACTAGGTTAGTTTATGTGGATGTGCATATTTTCTTCTTGGACCTCAAAACTCTTATTTAAAAATGGAATTACTGGGCGCCTGGGTGGCTCAGTTGGTTAAGCGACTGCCTTCGGCTCAGGTCATGATCCTGGAGTCCCAGGATCGAGTCCCGCATCGGGCTCCCTGCTCAGCAGGGAGTCTGCTTCTCCCTCTCCCACTCCCCGTTTGTGTTCCCTCTCTCGCTGTGTCTTTCTCTGTCAAATAAATAAATAAAATCTTTAAAAAAAAAATGGAATTACTAATCTAAAGAACCTCAGAAAAACTGCCTTGATTTCAAGTATATAAATTTAATTTTTCAAGTATTCCAGTAATAGTGGTTACAAACCTCAGCTTTACATATTCTGGAAGAGGTAGAAATAGCTAGCATTACAAGATGAATCCATCTTGGATGAATCCATACATATAAATCACATATTTTCCACAGCAAATAAAGAGCTAGACTTCTCTTAATATCATACACACTTAAACCATGTCTGCAAGGGTATAAAATATCAAATCAGAGAACTTCAGTCTGAATTCTATCTTCACTAGTTTCTAGATGGGAAAGCTTGGAAAATTTAATCAACTTATTTGACTATTCATATCTTTTTTCTTTTAACAAAATAGA